TCAGGCACTTTATGTTGAGTTAAAGCTAGAACAATTTAAAATGTGGACAGAATAATTTCTTCCTGGGAGCATATCCTACAACAAAATAAATGTCAATGAAGAGAAATTTCTCTTTGTATAGCACTTAATCAGCAGGGGAAATAGAAATGTTCAACAAAAGGAATCCATGCTCAATGGAAGATATAATGTACTTGGAAAGCTGCAAGAAGACAACTTTGCACATAATAGAACAAGAACTGTCTTTAAAGGCAGTAAAATGGGTCAGCTTTGCAGATAGAGTAATCCATGTTTATATTTGTGTTTAAGGAATCGTTGTAGCACTAGGATAAAAACTATATATTAAGATAGTAAAAAGAAGGCTCTAAGGATTCATCACTTTCATGTCAATTCATGCAAACAATATTAGAGTAGAGTCTCATTTATCTGACATAAACGTGCTGCCAGAACATTGGATAAGCAAAATCTTGGATAATACGGAAGGATTAAGGAAAAGCCTATTAAACCCAAGTAAAGGCAGGGTTTGCCTCCCACCTTCAGTGCCTGCTCTTTCTTTCTTTCTTCCTCTTCCATAAATCAAACATTTCCGCTGCTGGTAAGAAAGAGAGCATTGGGGCAGGCTGTGGGGGGGGGGAGTGAGGCGAGAATGGGCACCAAGGTCAAGAGTGCGACCTTTCTTTCTTTCCTTCCCTCCCTCTTCTATAAAGTAAACATTTCTGCTGGTTGTGAGAGAGAGAGTTGGGCCAGGGCTGTGGGGGGGGGGGGGGGGGGGGGGTGAGGCGAGGATGGGTGCTGAGGTCAAGAGTGCCAGAGAGTGAGGCTGGTGAAGCAGCCAGGCTAGCAGGCAGTCTCGACTGGGCTCCCACTTTACCCACATGGAGGCCGCTTCCCCAAAGCCTTGCCTGTGCTGAATGCGAGGCCCCAGGGAGGAGAGGAGAGAGAAAGTAAGGAGGGAAACGGAGTCTGGAACAGGAGCCAGAGAGAGAAGAGAGGAAGGAAGGGGAGCCTCATTGCAATTATCTGAGGAAGAACCCTGTTTTTATTCTTCCTAGGCAGAAGCAGCCAAGGTATGTCGGATAATACGGAATGTTGGATAAGTTAAAGTTGGATAAACGAGACTCTACTGTACCTGGAAATCAAGCATACTGCTCCAGTTTAGTGCTAGCGTGTTTATTGGAAATGGTACAGATATTTTAAAATGGGAGTAACCGAATGTTTCATAGTTCCCAGAAATTCTACTTAAAACTGTCTCCCCCCCCCCTTTTTTTCCACCTTTTGTTTCTAAATTTCATTTGCCTAGGGGCCAATATTTTTGTTTCCTTAAATTTTTCAAATTTTTTCTTCTTAAGGGTAAATAGTAAGCAGCCTTGTTTTTTAAGTGCTCCATTTGTCATATGTAAAATGCTTAGTAGAGGTGATGATTGTTTACACCTCATGCATAAATAACTGCTGCTCCGGGGAAAATGTCATCACCCCAAAATTGCCCATTTCTTTTACTCTCATAATTCCTTCCTTGCCTCTCCAGAATGCTCCTCAGGGTTTTATTGTATCAGTGATTTCTATGTGTAACATAAAGTGAGTAAGAGGGCAGGCAGGTAGGAATAGGAGCAGAGTGTTAAATGGTATTGAAAGAAGTCCTGCTGACGTCACCAACCTATGCCATATCCTCAGCCACTTCTCTCATTAAAACGTAGTGGAAATGTAGAAAATTACTTTCAAACTGCCTGTTAAAATTAGTTTGGGAGATTTCTTTCTTATTGTTCTTGGTTTTAAAAGTGTACTGTAATGTCCATCTTTTTGTGTAGAAGAAAAAAATACTATTGAAGGAAGTAGCATTTTGATCAGTAGAAATAAACTAACTTGGGTTTTCCCCTTGAATGTATGACTTTGCAGGAGAGGGGTTTTTCCAGCTGAAAAAAAATTCTGATAAGCTTCTACTATGTACATGCATGTATAACTTTCACACATTTTCCAGAACAGTAGCAGTACTAATACGTTACTACAAGAAACCCTCTGTGTACTTCTTTGAGAAGAATCACATCAGACCCAGTATGGATTATTTTAACTAAACTACATTGGATGGGGAATTCCAATTGGAGGTAGCCATGGTTTAAAAAAATGAAGTAGTGTGATATTGATGCCTGTAAGAATTGAGGTTAAGTTGAAAGATCAGTCTAAAGATGAAACACCTGCAGCCCAAGGCCAAGTTCATTTTTCCAGACCTTCCTACATGTCCCACAGAGGCCTCCTAGTTTGGTTAATCTCAACAAACACCCTTATCTGGTGACAGGTAGCTAAAACAAGGTATTGCATTGGCCATAACAACTGCTGGCATATGGCCTAGATCAAAAGGGTATAATACACAACCGTTAAGTTTCACTTAAACAATTTATTATTTCCATCCAAATAAATTTAGCATGGAGGTGATTATTTTCAGCATTTCACTTGCATTGTTCCACGCCACAGGAAAGTGGATTACCAGTGAGGGCCAAAGATTCCTATATTTGTGTTCCAAAGCCAAATTTTAGAACCACTTCTTATGGTATACGATACAAAATGCTTTTTTAAAAAAATGAAAACTGAATATTCTAATAAGGTACGGCTTACATAACTGTAACACACGTCAGTATCCTCTGAACTAGTCACCTACTGACATTAAAGCAATACACTGATGCTTCTTTTGAAATATGCCAGTGAATTTCTATAGTATTAAAAATAATATTGGGTAGTGTTTGGTTTTTTCCCCTTATACTGATGTCCTAAAAGGCAGATTTCACTTTGGAGTAAGGAGAAAAAACAGTTTCTCCACAAATGCTTTCAAACTGCCAGTATGAATGTTATTTTTTAGACACCCCAGTACGTCTCACTACTATAGCTCATTATTATCACAATTCATGCATTAGTTTTTATTACAGAAAATTGAGACTGAAAACACTTTGAGTATGTTATAGTTATTAAATTGCAGTTGCTGAGCATATTTTATAATAAAGCATGAAGATTCAAACAGGTAAAAGAGTATGAAGACTGGTATGATGCAAGAGATGGAGAGAAATTAATTCCCCAAATGTTATACTGGCATCTTTCAGAGCATTTCTGTGCCTATCTACTCAGAAGAAAGTCCTATTGAGTTCAATAGAATGCCCTTTCAGGTAAGTGTGAATGTTCCTGGAGCCAATGAGACTTGGCACAAGGATATTCTGTTCTTCAAGTCACTATACAATGCAAACCCCATATCCCATGGATATTTGAAACTACAGGTAATAGTGAATCCTTGTGAACTAAAGGACTTCCAGCCCAAGAATCCCATAGAGCAGTGGTTCTCAACCTGTGGGTCCCCAGATATTTTGGCCTTCAACTCCCAGAAATCCTAATAGCTCGTAAACTAGCTGAGATTTCTGGGAGTTGTAGGCCAAAACACCTGGGGACCCACAGGTTGAGAACCACTGCCATACAGCCATGCTGGGTGACCTAGAAAATGCCTAGAAATTATGTATTTTGTCAAGCATCGATAGCAGCTCTGCAGCTACTGGTGTTGTACAATGATGGATTGACTATTAGGGTTTATTTTTATCCCCTAGAACAGCAGTTCTCAAAGTGTGCTCCGTGGAGCCCTCGGGGCCTGCAAAGAATACTGAGGGGTTTTGTTCTTTCCTTTCCTTTCCTTTTCATTGCCCCTCCTCCACCTTCCCTCCTCTTTCTGCTTCTCCTATTTCCCTCACCCTCAAAAGCCTGTTTTCCTCACACCCAAAAGTCTTTTCCCCCACCTCCCTTGCCGCCCATAACCTTTCCCCCTCACCTTCCTTGCTTCCAAAACCCTAGTTCACACCCACTGCTTGGAGATTGCTTTGATTGTGTTTTTCCTGCATCGCAGAAGGGAGTTGAACTGGATAGCTCCTGAGGTTTCTATTGTTGTTGTTGTTGTTGTTGTTACAAAGGCTGGATGGCCTTCTGTTGGGGGTGCTTAACTTGTGCTTTTTCTGCATAGCAGAAGGCAGTAGGACCAGATGGTTCCTGGAGTTTCTGCTATTATTATTATTATTATTATTATTATTATTATTATTATTATTATTATTATCATCATTATTATATAAACATTTCTTGGGGCTCCATGAAAAAAATTGCTTCAAAAAGGGCTCTGCGGCTGAAAAAGTTTTACAGCCTGTGCTTGAGACCAAAGGACTTTGGTAAAACAATGGTATCTTAGCAATTTAGAAGGAATATGAAATTATACTTATCTTTGAATCCAATAGGAAGGACAGGATTAGGAGCACTTCAGACAATGTCATTCTCTACCTCCATCAAGGAGGATGTTGTATCAAAATTAGGAAGCTCTAAAGGGGAATACTTCCAGAAATCAGTACAAATGAAAATACCAACCATCCAAAATAGAGGCATCCAAAGGAGAAAGTACAGCAGTGAATGAATTCAGTTACCTTCAAGTAGATTGGATAAATGTTCTTCTCACAATAAAGATGTATAGTTTTCTGGATATTATATATAATGACACCTTAAGAACAGTGGCATGGAACTGACCAGAGGAAAGGCAACCATGGACTTAAACTTAGGTGACCTTGAACAACCAGTGCCAGATATGGCTACTGCTGAACTGACTGCAAGTAGAGGACACCGGACTATTAAACTTAAATTATATGTAAACAGAAAATATGGAAGTTAAGAGGGGGAAGATGGACATACAACAACTGAACTACATTCAGAGTAAGAGCATAGTTGATTTAGTATTTTTTATAATATCAGAAGATGAATCAATTTATCATAGATTTTTATAATTTAAAAAAAGAAACACCGCTACAATCAAAACAGGACAGGGAGGATGCAGCCTAAATATGAAGTGATTGTAATTGATCCATCAAAATATACATATGGTATAAAGAAGTTTTTGGTCATCAGTTATTGGAAAAATGAATTCTTGAAAGATATTTCAGGAAACTAGAGAAAGTAAAAGACTACAGTTATCTGAGGAAATTGCTTAGAACAAAAGGAAATTCAATCAACAAGATGGTGTTTTATGGTCGCTACAGGATGAATAAGGGAAACCATTTCGAATTCTTTTGGTTAGAACTCCTGGTATATAACATGGTTTTACTTTGAACACCCCTTCCACTTTTTGTTAAGAGATCTTTGCTCGATGCAGATATTTCTACATTTCAGTAGTACAGAAATACAAACTGGTTTTATAAATATTGTAGACACCAAATTCATTTTTGTCAGGACTTCTTCAAGGAAAAGGTGTAGATGTTGAAATTTTTGCTCAGTTGTTTCACCTAAAACAGTAATAAAATATATCTTGATTAGAAAGGGCTCACATTGATTAATATCTTCTAATCATATAGAATCTGAGAAAATGTTAGATTAAAGCTAGTACCATGATTGAAATTCCCCCTTTCAGTATGCTAATAATAAAAAAGGCTATAATTGTTCCCAATACCTTGATGTTCACTGTATAAAACATATAATCCTATTTGAATGTACTTTATTTTACTGTAGTCTGTAGTGGTTGCATTTTGAGAAAGGATTTGGGACATGCATGACACATGCAAATGGTTACATAAAACCGATCAGTGAAGATTTTAGGGTTAGAGCTGAAAGCAATCTTTTTCTCTGCAATATTTTTATCCTCAGAATATGCAGTCCTTCATAGCTTGCAATGATTTTTTCCTGTGAACTAGATTCACAAAGTTGGTGGGTTTTTAGAAGATACAAGGGATGCATCAAAAGACATTTTGTTGTTCTACTGATGGGATTATGCATATAAATCAGTGTTTCTCAATCTGGGGGGGGGGGTCATGAGGGGATGTCAGAGGGGTTGCCAAAGACAATCAGAAAGCACAGTATTTTCTGTTGGTCATGGGGGTTCTGTGTGGGAAGTTTGGCCCAATTCTATCATTTATGGGATTCAGAATGCTCTTTGATTGTAGGCAAACAATAAATCCCAGGAACTACAACTCCAAAATGTCAAGTTTATTTTGCCCAAACTCTCCAGTGTTCACATCTGGCATATTGAGTATTTGTGCCAAGTTTGGTCCAAAATTGTTTGATTCCGCAGTACTCTCTGGATGTAAGTGAACTATAACTCCGAGACTCAAGGTCAATGCCCGCCAAACCCTTCCAGCATTTTTTGTTGATCATGGGAGTTCTGTGTGCCAAGTTTGGTTCAATTCAATTCCATTGCTGGTGGAGTTCAGAATGCTCTTTGATTGTAGGTTAACTATAAATTACAGCAACTACAATTCCCAAATGACAAAATCCATCCTCTACCAACCCCACCAGTATTCAAATTTGGGCATATTGGATATTTGGGCCATATTTGGTCCAGTGAATGAAAATACATCCCACATATCAGATATTTACATTATGATTCATAACAGTAGCAAAATTACAGTTATGAAGTAGCAATGGAAATAATTGTATGGTTGGAGGTCACTGCAACATGAAGAACTGTATTAAGGGGTCATGGCACTAGGAATGTTGAGAAACACTGGTGCAAATTATTCTTTTATGGCTATCAAGGATATCAAAATTGTTCAATTTTCCAAGTTTTTGGTTTGGGGCAGACCAGTTACTAGAAAATCAAGAAAGAGGTTGAATTTATAGGTAAAGATTAGAAGGTTCTGCAAATCCTAAAACGGAAGACAATACAACTAAATAACTAAATTAACCACCGCAACCAAAGGGGAATGATAGGAAACAGCCTTAGTTTCGCCATATGTAGCAACATGTGTTTACTACTAACTATAATAAAATGAGAAATTTTACCACACAGTATCCATAGTGGATGTGAGCAGCTGTGACGAAGATAGTAAATCCAATAAATATTGGTTCCTCTAATCTGCCCTGAAGTCCCGACGTTGCTGTGAAGACCACGACAGCTAGTGGACCCATAAGCCAGTGAAGCACTTCAGATCTTGTATTAGTCATTTGACAAATGATCATTCTGCACTGTGGGAATGAAAGTCAAGTAAAGGAGTATGTACCACATAAAATACAACAAAAATTTAATATTAACACAGATTTCATTTGTGAAAGCCTAAAAAATAGGGGTAGGGCCATTTGAGTTTTGCCATAACTTTCTCAATTATTTTAGTGGCCAATGTTGGTATACATCAGTGGTTCCCAACCTTTTTTTGACCAGGGACCACTTGACCAGGGATCATTTGACCATGGACCACTATCCAAAATTAGTACCAAAAGAGTTATGAATCAGTTTTTGGTCAACTTTAGATTCAGTTTGGTTATTTGGGGTGCTGACTCAAAACTGCATTGGATAATCCACATAAGCTCTAGTTTCTGATACAGAACACATACCATCCAGTAGTCGCCATCTGCTCACCCACAGAAAACCATATTTAATAATCTAGAGCTCATGTGGTAGTAGTAATATTTCATGGGTAGCCAGCCTCTCCCCTCCCAACATCCCTGTTGCCTCAGCACTATAAGAGGGTTTCCCAAGACCAGTTACTTTCATTGTGGTTTCGAGGCAATGGTGAGGCTGTGTACCATATTTTTGTTCTTGGGGATCACTGGTGGTCCACAGACCACAGCTTGGGAGCCACTGATGTATACTGATTGCAACCATTAGTACTTATGCTAAAACCATATTAAGTTCAATCTGAGGGGACATCTTCCTCTACGTCCCACCTCGGAGTTTAAGATCTGGGGAGGCCCTGCTCTCGACCCCGCCTCTGGCGCAAACACGCTTGGCAGGGATGAGGGACAGGGCCTTCTCAGTGGTAGCCCCCCACTTGTGGAACTCATTCCCCAGCAAAATAAGGTCAACTACATTCCTCCTCTCCTTTAGGAAGAAATGGAAAATGTGGTCGTGGGACCAGGCTTTCGGGTAGCACATTGATAACGATAAGACTATGGAAAATGGACTATGCACAGGCTTCTGATTGTGTTAATGTTTGCAGAATTTGATTCTAGATAAGGCTAGACAGCCAGTATTATTTTAAATGGATTTAATTTTAAACTAGTTTTAAACTAATTTAATGTATCATTTATATGTAATTACTGTATTATTATCTTGTATGTGGGGGCATCGAATTGTTGCCGGCTGTAAGCCGCCCTGAGTCCCCCTGCGGGGTTGAGAAGGGTGGGGTACACATGTTTGAAATACATAATAATAAATAATTGCTCCACAGGGACAGAATCATTGAAGACAACAAAGGATGTGCATTTTGAAGTGTACAAATCCCTTAACTAGCCATCTCTCTCTTATTTGTTTTTTTCCTGAGCAAGGTACATATTTTTGGAAACAATCTCAGATCCTTCCAACTCAGACTGCAGAAGTTACATTTTTGTGTGCATGCAAAGCTCATTAGTGATGTGCATGCTTGGACTGTACTTGTTTCCTACTTTCATACACACTGACCCCAGTCTACCAGACCTGAGGCCACTTGAAGGTAAGGTCTTAGGCATATTTATTTAGAAGTCCCACTGTGATAATGGGATACGTCCCTATAAGGCTGCAGCTCTAATTCCACTGCAATCACTGTGTCTATGCCCCATATGCTGGATGTTACGCTGAAAAGCAGTAGCTAATGTGCTACGACTTCCAGAGTAAAGAAACTACAATGGCAGCCAGACTGTGTGTCATGTAAAATAAAACAAAGAAATCCCAGAACAAAGACAGTAAGAATGTGCTTCCTAGCTTCTTGAAATGTGGGAATATGAAAAAGAGTGGGGGAAACCCCTTGTGTTTCCAATCATAAACACAATAGTCACTATTTCTTTGTCACTGCCATGAAACATGCATCTTACAGCAGGAAACACATAGTAAATTGCTGCTTAACAAGGAACATCTGTCAGTATGCCTTCCCTTGTAAGCATCTCACAATCATTAGTTAAGATATGTCTGGATATTGTCAAGAACAGGAAATTCCAAAGCAAGTTTTTTCTGGCTGAGAAACAGTCTAAACTCCTAACCAAAGCACCTTCTCAGGACAAAAGCATTCTGCAAGATATCTTGTCCCTTTAGGGATAAAACACGGCTCTCAAGCTTGATGCAGGTTCCAAAGTGGAACAAAGTGAACCAACTGTGTGTGTCTGAAGGCATAAAAGGTATGTAACTATTAATAACATTTAATGTTTTCTCCTGTTTTTGGAAAATAAAATGCTAGACGTACGAATATCATGTAAACACATTAACACACTGCCACTAATAAGTCATGTTCTGTTTTCTGCATCTCGTATCTACATGAAGAAAATATGTATTGTATAATGTTCATAAATAGTTCAATTTTGTTGATTAGTACAATGCTGGAAGAGAAGGTGCCTTGAATGAAAATGATCCCCTGATTCCCAACAACTCAAGGAATATAACTTACCATGATATTTGCAAAAATAACTCCAACCATCCATAAAAACAATCTTGTTTGTTTCTTTAATATTTCACATGGAGAGTGAGTCACCCAAATGGTGAAAAGTATAAAGAGCACCGTTGGGGATAATAGTGGTAGAAGTCCCTCGTACAAAGAATCTTTGAGTAGTGTTTTATTTCGATGTGCTCTGAAAATAGAGAAGTTGTGTGATGGAGTGAGACATCATCACTCATTTATAGAAATTTCAAAGTCAAAAGACCCACAGTAAATTGCCATTGTTGAAACTACGATGCTACCAGAGGGAAATGCTTTGTTCCCAGACCAATTCATACAATGTGTGCAAGAGACAATGTGATGATTGTAGCAGCTAGGAAAAGAGCTGCTGCCATTGCAAAAAAAAAAAGGGGGGGGGGTGCTTTTAGCCTCATTCAACACAATCCAGGTAGAATTTTCCACAACCAGTGTGGTTGTACTTGAGCTTACCTGTACTTCATTTTACATGATAATGAACTTTCATTAAGTTTTGTCTGTTCTCCATAGTAATCTCTCAATGCTTCTTGCAGAGCAATCTTACCAGTTCACTTGAAGAACAATGACTTCAGTATCTCCAGTGTAACCAATGCCCTTCCAGGATGTGCCCGACTGAGCAGAAGAGGAGAGGCTTCTCTTCTCCTAATTTTCCCCTATTAAACTTTCTCTTTTCATCATTAATGGGAGGGAAATGAATCAAACCCATTGCAATGCTGGCAAACCTTCCATCTTGTCCTGGTGGCATACTAGAGCCTCTTGTGCCTAGCACTGGAAAGAGAAGTGATTTGGCTATGCCCTTCCAACCTGCCTAGATACATCTGGAATTGGATCTGCCCCTTTGAGGGTGAAGTTTGCCTTTGAAAGGGAATCCTATGGCTAGTTGTATGCCCTCTCAAGGACCATAGGATTTCAGGCTTAATTAAGAATCGGCATCTTCTTTTTAAAAATATATCCAATTATATATGAATGGGAAATGTGAAAACATCTTTGTTCTGGCAAAAAAACACATTTGTTCTCACAATCTGCCTAACGATGGCATTCTGATTAGTTTGTTTTTAATCACTATATATATGAATGGGAAACTGTTAAAAGTTAACTTCAAATAATCAGTGCAGCCTACCTATACAGAACATTTACTTATGTATGTCAATGAAGGTTTTATTGTCCATCTCATCCCTGTTTCAAAAATAAATATTAGGAAGTTTCCCCAAAGTTATGTCTAATAGGTAAAAGGAAGAGTGCAACATGGTAAAGATGACATATTCATCCCTTAAAGGGATTTCCTTTTGGTTTTTGGAAACTATTCCAAATCCAACTGTTACGGCAATCTGCACTTAAACCTGCATTATCCCAATTCTAGGTTAGAGTAATAGCTGTGGTATAATTAAAGCATTTTATTGGACTCCTAAACTGATAGAAATTCTGTTCACAGTGAGCAATGCTTTTCTTCCCAAACCAAAGAGAGTACATTTACATGTTCAAAGTAAGTATCTGCTGGAGCTCTCCAGAAATTGGGAGGGATCTGAAAACTCACATCAAAGACTCCCTGCTGGTAGAGAGCTTACTCTGCCAGACGAAAAGTTCTAATGTATGATGCTAGTCTTCTTTGCAGGGAGACTTTTTGATATGACTCAGATTTAGCCCTTGTTGTATTCTGAAGTAACAGAGTCCAGTACACCAGTGGCCACTTGCTTTTTTCTGAATGATCAATAGCCTTTCAGGTGTTTTTGGACTGTGGCCATAAGCGATAATGCCAATGCTGTGCTGACTTAAGGTCAACAATACCTTGAAGGGTGCATGACTCTTATCTCTGCTTTAGATGCTTCCTGAGCAAAATAACCTAGTTCTCTCTTTGTAGATGAAGTTGGTTTCGCATCACACTAGAGAAAAAATCCATTTAAAATTCGGTTTCTGCCTCCTGCAGAATTCTGGGGTTTGTAGTTTAGTGAGGCTGTTAAAAGCTCCTCCCTAAACTACAAACCCCAGAATTCTGCAAGAGGCAGCAACTGGATTTTAAGTGGATTTTTTCTCTAGTGTGATGAGACCCAATTAGCACTTCTGAATGAAAAAAATACTTCTCGAATAAAAAACCTAGCACATTTATTTTGTCAAGCTCACAGACTAAGGAGGTGGAAAGTTAGGAAAACTTCAATAATAGCATACTTTATCTGAGCTACCTGTAAAGGCAATAACAAGCTGATATTCAGTTACAGTCTACTTGCCAAATGCAACAGCTTAACTACTTCAGATGTTGTTTTAACAGGGACACGTTCAATAAATATTTTAACTGGAAATAAAACAGTTTAGTTATATAAATAGTGAAATAAGTGCATCTTGCTGAAGTGAGGAAGACAGCGTGAGAATCATCTCTTAGGACAGAACAAATGAAAAACTTGGGTGAAACATTAGTAGTAATTAAAACTAAAATATTGCTTCCAGAAATGAGTTAATCTAAAGAACACTCTTCTTGAGTCTCATAGTGTTATGGTTATGGAGTTGGGATGAACATAGACAGGAGTTAGATAGTTGGAGAGAGAGTGGAATAATACACAGTGCAAACTGGATGGGACATGACACGCACAGGAATACATCTAAAGACAAGTTGCTCATTGAAGGAAACACTCCCTGTTGAAATATCAGATGTATTTTAGTAAAAGGAAAACAGACAGAGGCATAATGACTTAAGCGGGATGATAGAGCATTTACTCATGATGACACTTACATGTAAATGTTGTAGAGCGTCTGTGGAAGGGAAAGAATTATGCAGCAGACTAGAAAGAGAAAATGTATACACGGTGATTCATGGTTGCTCCGCTTTTTAAAAAAAAGCTCTATTAACAATACAGCTATCTCAAGGAATTAAGTGTGCTAACAATAGACCTGATATTTATCCCCTGGTGAAAGAACAGAAACATCTCCAAAATAATAGACAAAACTTGAAATCTAGAAAAAGTAGACAGTTTGGATGTCTGGGTGTTTTCTGCATATGTCCCATACAACCCCTTGTCTTAGCCATATACAAAGACAACTATATACATTTTAAATGATGTTCTACATGCATTTTGCAGTGTAAGGTGTGGATTCAAGAACAATACCAGAAATTTGGCTAAAGTAACTGAACCACCATATGCAAAGCAACAGCCCTAGGCAGACACATTGGTCATTTTGTATGAGATCTGTTACTGAATCTCCTGGCTTTGATTTTTACTGAAATGGAGATGTTGAGACTGCTAATCTGGTCAAAGCAGTGGCAGATAAAATGAGACATTTAACTATCCCCTCTATGCCATCTTCCTGATCAGAATAGCCGCCTAAGACAGCACGGGTAGCTAGTTACTACTCATTTAGTTTTCATTCCAGCCAAGAATATTTTATCAACACTATCCAGGATGCTAAATATGACACAATAAAAATGCAAAGTGACTTGACCTCAGGACAACATGGATAGAAGGCTCTGTGCAATGGACCTATCCAAAATTATCTTATTTACAGGATTCACCTTGAAACTTTAGTTAGATATTTTGCAAGTGAAACTGGTCTACACTTTGCCTTGAACTCCCGTTTTTGTTCCTCCTTTTCTGACTGCTCCCTCTATAGAAATAATGGTTTTGAATATTTGGTTCTCCAGGTGTTTTATATCTCAAGTCATCAAAGCCACAGATAGCATGATCCATGCTCAAGGATTTGGGAAGTACAAATACGAAAGGACTCAAAGGTTGAGAGCCAATGCTACAGTGCATGTCGTGCCTTGGTGTATGATGTGAGGAAATGCCAGAGCTTTTTAAAGCATCTCCTGTCTTTCAAAAAGAACCATCTTTGTATTAGGACTATCCTGTAAAGGCTAAAATAAATTCAGTGCAATTTGAAGTGATGATCTGAATATGATGATGAACATGAAACTGTTCTGCTAGTATATGACATATCAGTTTGAGCCATTTGTTTTAAAATTAATTTGAAGCAATCTATAACAAAAAGACATACAGAAACCATTACAGAAACATCACAAAAAGCAGGAAACAGGAACAGGACATAAACAAATTAAGAAATAATTGTTTTTAACATGCACTAATAAAACTATGTTTAGAGTCAGAAATATAAACTTTATTTACTATTTGCTTAATTACTAATTTCTGTTCACTAATTTTTACAATGAATGTAAGTGTTGATATTTTTGATGCATTTAACTGATTCCAAATCTGGATGAGTTATTTTTCCAACCTACCCACTACTCAATTCTTGAGTGTTTCAGCAAAAATACACAATAATAGTTCTTGCCTCTCAGTTGACAATGGCATCTTTCCATAGATCAGTTAGCAGATTAGTGGATTGAAAAACATATACAGCTAAAACATCTAAATGTGTGTCAAGCAATGTTCTTCCATATGTCTTTGCTTTGTGCACTTCGACCACATTTGCATCAAGTCTGTAATGGCCTCAGCCAGTTATGTGTGAATCAAATTAGTAATGATTGCAAGAACAGCGAAAATCTCTAAATCTCTGCTCTTGGCAATGATGTACTTTGTTCTATTCTAGCATTAATTTATACACATTTTACCTTTTTAATATATTTTGTTCCAATCTCTGTCCCTTTATTGTGTACATATATCAATTTATACAATGGGGGTGATTGAAGCTATCACCCAGTCTTGAGACAGTCTGTCTGGAAAGCAGTAGAGTTGAGATTTTTCATTCTTCAGCAAATTTCACCTCACAATGGGGACATTAGCCATTCACAATATAAACTAACACCCATTAATGGTGTATCCAAAATGAGTGCATTTCACACTAAAGACCTTGTCACACATGCCACCAGAATCAGTCAGTCTCACTGTGTTTCAACAGCGCCCACCCATCCTATGCCCCTCTCCATCCTGGCTTCCCCTCATCACACGGGGAAGGAAGGAGAACCAGGAAGGTGTATCGCTATGCCTTGGCCCTGTATCCTAGTGTGGACGGTGGCGCCTCACTGCCGGTGAGAGAGACCCCCTTCACCACACACACATGCTGAGGCTCCTTCCTACCTTCCTCCGTGGGGTTGCCTCCCCTTGGCGTTGCCTAGCAAAGATGGCCAGTGCAGAGAGGGCACCCCACCTGGGCCCTGGCTGCTGACCACTGTCTCCCTGGAGGGCAAAGCATCAAAAAGGCAGGCAGATAGATGGCCCTCTCATCTCTGAACCTGGAGCCGCCCCGTAGTAGGGGGCTGCCCCCTGCCTTCACCTTTTTTGAAGTGAGATTGGAGAATGGCAGCTGAGAGAGCAGGAACTCTTCTCTCTCTCTCTCTCTTTGGAGATGGCTGTGGTGAGAGGATGAGGAGACTGAAAGATGACCTTTGTGCCAGGAGCAATGGAGAGCTGTCACCTCACATTCCTGGTATCAAGGGCTTCCTTCTGTCTCTCTCCACACACTGCTGTTGCCTCTACTCCAAAATGACAATCCCATAAGCCCTTCTAGGGGGCGTGGGGAACTGTCACCCATGCCCCGCACCATCCCAGCTTTCCCCTGTCTCATCATATAAGAAAAAGCCTCAATAAGCCACCTCAACTCATCTTTCCATAAGGAAAGATGGGAAGTTTCCCATTGTGGGCCAATGGCTTATTTTCGGCACCACTTCTTTTTCAGTTCCATCACAGAACCACCCGGGAAGCACTTGTGTGATAGGAGCCGTCGGACTCTATGGCCGAACTTGAAAAACCCCATTGCTTCTGCTGAAAAGAAGCCTCCATGAAGAAGTCCTAAAACATTTCATTGCACACCCTCCTTGTAGATGCTAACAGTAAACTCTGATACTGAGCTATGGCAACTGAAGTGAGGCAGCAAAAGGGAATTATCAGTTCACTTGGAGAAACCCTGAAGGATACAGAAGTCACAGGAATTCTAGAATAATAATTTTGAAAAAGCCTAACACATCAATTACCATCAAAAACAGTTTAGTGGCAAAATCATATTTGGGTGCACGGGGAGGAGATGGAAAACCAGCTGTGGAACATAGGAGGAACAAAACACTGTATCTTCAAAAAGGATGTTAATGGATTGTGGGAATACTTCATATGCAAACAGTTCCTTGCAGTTTCTACATTTTATAAGCCTGATAAAAATAAAGTATACTGCTACAAGTCGTAAATACTGTACTAAATCCAATATAAAAGTTAACTGTGAATATATACTGCTTTAATATCTTAGAAGCTGATCGGTTGCCTTGTTGCTAATTACCACTGTTTGGGACATGAGCACACAACTAAAATTATTCTGAAACATAGCTCTAGAAGCTGCACTTCTGTCAGCTGCTTTTTGCCAATTTTTTCCTTAGCCCATTTCTGTAATTCCCCTCCATATTTCTCTGTACCCCATATCGTATGTTCCTACTGGCCTCTATACTAAAGCAACCATTATTTACTTGAATCTACTGTTTACCTTTGGGCTAAATTACCCTCACCAAAATTAGAGTGCTCATTAGATTTGAGTCATATTATAATTTTTGTGCTGAGCAGAAGGAAAACAAGAAATTGCTTCAGGAGTTGCTTCTTGAGCTCCTGTTTGAAGAGCAGTAATCTTGCAATGGCTCAAGGCTATGGCATGGGTAGTTTGGTGAGGCATCAGCATTCTTTGGCAGAGAAGGCTCAAGACTTTGTAAAACTACAAGTCCCTAACTCCATAGCATTGAGTCAAGGCAATTAAAGTGGATTCATTCTATAGCATACATGAACCCCAAAGTTTTCTTTTCCACTAGTGGAAGGTTTGGCGTTCTAATATTTTTGTTTTCAAAGAAGGAATGCACACCTTTTTTGTCTAAATGACAAAGAGCACACTTTTTGCCACTGAACTCTACATGCTTTACATTTGGCAGCAAATACTTCTTTTGGTTTCAGGGTTTTAAAAACTGAGGTGTGCATTTGATTCGATGGTGTATTAGACTCTAGTAAATATGGGTATTTCTCTTCCTTAACTTCTCAGTTCACCTTTCTCTATTAACTGCACATCACTCTTATGAATCTCTTCCACAGCCATATACCCCAAATCTTTTACCTCATCTTTCTCTGTATTCTCCTCTATTTGCTCACTTTTCTCCTTACAGTTATCTCTCTTATTCCATTTGACATCCCTATTTCTCTTTCTCCACATGTTTCTCCTTTCCTGCCTTCAGTCTGGGGAAGGAAGATGTACTTTCTTTTTCCACTGTTTTTTCATTAAATTTCTGGATAGATGTGGTGGGAACAACATAAAAAGATTCTCAATCAGGCAGCAACATAGGCCTTAACTGTTCTGTGCATCTCTGAACCCAGGAAGAGTAAGAAGAGTCATAGATGCCCGGTGAGAAAAATACCTTTCCATCTCACTTTTAAGTTCTTGAAAAGACCCCAATTGTTTCCAAAAGATTTTTATACAGAGGCTGTTAGGATATGTAAAAATCAGTTAGTGAGTGTGTTAACTGAACATGCAAAGCATGAAGCTGATTGATTAGGCCTAGAGAGCCAGCTGAGCCTGGGAGTTTTGGCAACAGTTACATTTTTAGGCTTGAGCTGTGCAGGAGCTTGCACAGAGAGAGACACTTCTTGCTTCAAGAGCTGCTGGAAGGAGATTTTCCACACGGACACCTTAAAGACCATTTTGAATATCTCTAAAAGGACATTGTGTGAATCAATGCAAATGTTCACATGATTGTATATATGTTGCTCTGCATTACAAAGAGTAAACTCCTTGTCCTTTACTGATAATCTGCATGGCATATTTTTCTTTCTCTGGCAAGACAGTGTGTGGACTGATAAAACATAAACTACACATGATTTTCATTACACCACAAAGGCCTTTAATGATAGATATTTTAAATTCCCCAACTAGAAGCAGCAATTGTCAAATGGACCTATTTTGTGCAAGTCTAATGTAATTGTGTGCATACATAATCTTTGTTCTTAAAAAAAACCCTTGAAAATGGTTTTCTTGCAGATGCAAGTCTTCATATTGTTTATTATCTTAATATCACAATTACTTCCTAATTTCCCCCTTCTTTCCCGCTGAAGACAGAGACAGCAGCTGCACTGTTCAGAACATCTGGCTGGTCTTCCTGTAACAAGAAACAGCTCAAGTATTTTGAATACCTGCCTGAACATTTACAGCCTTGCCGTTCTCAGAACTGCCTTAAAGTTAATCTGTGCTGCGGTTATGGTTTCTATTAAAAAGAGCCTTTGCAATAAGAACTTACATACAGCAGTTAAAACATCTGCATCACATTAGTATAGCGATGAGACCAAACAATGGTGCTTGAGGTTAAATCTAAATTTCCTGCTGCAATCTTAAAGTTTGATTTCTCAAAAGAAAAGCAAGCAAAGGGGGCAGAAATAGTTTCAAGCTAAAATATGCACTCAGTGACTGTTCGCTTTTAACGTTTTTTTTATGGTTTGGTTTGCTTTCATATGAAGTTCAATTTCTAACCAGAAAGAACACATTGATTACAACAACTTTTTGTATTATTATTATTATTATTATTATTATTATTATTATTATTATTATTTTGCAGATGTGTTGTTGTTCCTTAGAGGGGCAAGTGAATTTTTCTGGCCATTCCCTCCATTAATACAGTTTCTGTATTTTGATTATGAATAACCTGGCCATTTAGGCAGCTTGCTACTACCACCATTACTATGGCCAAGTGAATCTTCAGCCCTTATCGCCCATAGATGCTCAGATACTTCTGCCAACTATTGATCATAGCAAGCAGAGGGTCACTGTCAAATGCTCAGTAGTGACTAATAAATGCCACCAGATGGCTAAGTGATGTCCAATTAATATTTGATAGTTCCCATGGGGAGACTGGGAAACAGTTATAAAAAGTATACGAGGCTCTTAGTAGTATTTTGTTTTTCTCTCCCCATCCCGCACTTCCTCAATCATTGATAATGGAAAATAACAATTTAATCTAGTTGGTGGAATAAATGCTTAAGGCTGCAACCTTATGGCTTCTGGGTCATAGAGGAAAGTCAAAACTAATTTGTAAGATGGGAGATAAGAGTTCTATGTCGAAGGCTTTCATGGCTGGAATCACTGTGTTGTTGTAGGATTTTTCGGGCTGTATGGCCATGTTCTAGAAGCATGCTCTCCTGATGTTTTGCCTGCATCTGTGGCAAGCATTCTCAGAAGAATGCTTGCCACAGATGCAGGTGAAACGTCAGGAGAGAATGCTTCTAGAACATGACCATACAGCCTGAAAAGCCTACAACAACCCAATAAGAGTTCTATTCTTGGATTCCTCTTCTGGAATCTTGTATTTTCGTATCTCTTCCCTCTCTAGAATAGGAAAAAAATTGAGCTGGAATTTTGGAATGTACAGAGTTCAGGCAACTCTGGATGTACAGTAACCAAGCACTTTGTCCTGTTCCCAATGTAAAGAAGATTTAGTTCAGCAAGACAGCTAGCTTCAGTTTGCTGCCTGATATTTATCAAAGTCTATTCAGAGATAAATGCCTCCGGCTTTCTCTCGGAGCTTAAGTGTTTGAAAGTAAGCTGTTATTCATTATAGATTTTCCCAGTGTTATAACCATATGACAACAAAAACAATCCTAATATTTTGAGTAAATACATGTTTCTTTAACATATTGGGGGATTCAGTTTACATTTCAGTCCAATTTGTGCACTCGTACTTGATCTTTGTTTTTAAAATGAATGTATAATAACATACTGCTAACACAGATAATGTTTCCTTTGTAAAAGCAAAATCATGTAATAGTAATGAATTAGACTCTCTCGACAGTAATGCTTTTGTACCACCTCTATAAGTTAACATTTCAGAATTCTGCTTGCTTTCAAGGAAACGTGTACAGCCTAAAGCATGTGAACATTGACTGCACCGGGCCTTCGATGTCTTGACATTTAATAGAAGTATGGAGGAATCATCAGTATGCTGAAAGTATATTCAAATTGGCAGCTGCATACTGTAGGATTCTTGTTGTTGCTGTTTTAAATTGCTTACCTATCAGGAGGATTATTAGTGTGTCTGTGAGATAATAATCAAAGATGAGAGGCTTCTGCCAAACTTCGACTCCCAATCCAGCAGTTAGCAAATACATGCCTATTAAAACCTGAGGGGAAAGAAAGGGAAAGGTTTTATTTCAAGGAGAAATATATTGTTTTAAAAACAAAAGCCTGCTCATTATGTTCCACCCAGTATCTTTTTAATGTTGAGACTCAATGAAATAATACTACAATTAAATATGTGGGGAGAATGTAATAATAATGTAATAATAATTATGATAATAATAATAATAATAATAATAATAATAATAATAATAATGCTGGCTATATATCTCGTTTGCTGTGTCATACTGTGTTTTTGTGTCAGTAAAATACTGGAGCCCCCAGTGGTGCAGTGGGTTAAACCCCTGTGCCAGCAGGACTGAAGACCGACAGGTCACAGGTTCGAACTGGGGAGAGGCGGGTGAGCTCCCTCTATCAGCTCCAGCTCCTCATGCGGGGACATGAGAGAAGCCTCCCACAAGGATGATAAAAACATCAATTCATCTGGGTGTCCCCTGGGCAATGTCCTTGCAGACGGCCAATTCTCTCACACCAGAAGCAACCTGCAGTTTCTCAAGTTGCTCCTGACACGACAAAAAAAAGAAGTAAAATACTACTACTACTACTAKTAKTAKTAATAATAATAATAATAATAYTAATAATAATAATGGGAAGTGTCCAACGTGTTATCRAATACAACAGCCAGCATAGTGATCTTGTTTGCTGTCTACTAATCTTGTTGTGTTTCAAATAATAATAATAATCATCATCATCATCATCATCATCATCATCATCTTTATCTGTATACTGCCCTATCTCCCCGAAGAGACTCAGGGCAATTTCCAACATATAAGGCAAACATTCAATTGCCAAAAAGAAAACCATACAAATTACATCACGACAAGTACTTTAGAAAATATAAACCAACCTAATTAACTTAATAAACAAAATAACAAAAAGGCATCATAAAACACAAAAATTCTGCTAAAACATACTAAAAATAAAATAATAAAACCAATTGCCGTTTATCCCCATCAGGCAATGTTCAACAAACCAATAGTCAGGATTACAAAGCTATTAGCCCATTTTTGTTCTACCCAAATACCAAATGAAAATATAGATGTGTATTAACTTAGCCACATGTTCTTCCATGCAATTAATATACCGTTCACACTCAAAAATCACATAATACACACATTTCTGTCTTTATGAACAGCCCACACTTCAAATACAGGACGTTCAGGCATCCTGTTCAATCTATATGCAGTTTTCCTTCTGTAGCCATGGATTTTTGCATCCACAGATTTAACCATCCATACCAAAAGGCAAATCTTGATTTTGCCATTTTACAGAAGGGGAACCATTTTCCTGTGGCGTTGTATACATGTATGGATTTGGGGACCTGGAACCAAATCCCAGCAGATACCAAGAGTTTATTGTCAAAGGAAAAGCTTTAAGCCCACAAATTAGGACCATACTTTGTAATAACAGACACTTGCCAACCCAAAAACGCAAAATCTCAATTAGACATATTTAGTTGGGTGCAGAGAAAATAGGAAGAAGCCAAGACACAACATACCAACTTCATTTCACAAGCAAAATTCTACTTTTGGAGGTCTAGATTTAACCCAATCAGAAAAACCATCAAGCAAAATTTTAGACTTTTAGGAAAATCACCCATGCAATATATAACTCAAAAGTGGTACAGGTTGAGCATCGCTTATATAAAAATATTCCAAAATCTAAAATTGCCCACACAGTGGTTGAGATACTTTGCTTTCTGATGGTTCAATGTACACAAATTTTGTTTCATGCACAACGGCATTTAAAATATTATTTAACATTACCTTCAGACTGAGAAAAGGTAAATAATAATAATAATAATAATAATAATAATAATAATAATAATATGCAAAGAATATGGCACAAGCCAGTAAAAGTGGTCCCAGTGGTGATCGGCACACTGGTGCAGTGCTTAAAGACCTTGGCCTGCACTTAAACACAATCGGTGCTGACAAAATTACCATCTGTCAGCTACAAAAAGGCCACCCTACTAGGATCTGCACGCATTATTTGCCGATACATCACACAGTCCTAGACACTTGGGAAGTGTCTGACGTGTGATCCAATACAACAGCCAGCATAGTGATCTTGTTTGCTGTGTACTAATCTTGTTGTGTTTCAAATAATAATACTTTAATTGTAGACCACCCTATTTCCCCCAAGGGACTCAGGCAATTTCCAACATGTATAGCAATCATTCAATGCCAAAAAAGGGAAAAAACATTCAAACAAATTACATTAGGACAGTACAATTAAAAAAAACCTAACTTTAAACTTAATAACAAAGTAACCGACAGTAAGAACTTAAATAACCTATATGGATATTATAGTTAATATAAATTTAACACTAAATAAAAACAACTAAGAACAAAAGCTAAAACCTTATAAAAGGGTGACATGATGTGCAACAACCAACAGGCTGAAGTCAGTTCCAGTCTCTAGACAAGATGTAACATATCTTGGTGACAGTATAAATCAGCCATGTTAGTCTTCCTCCTCTCCATACGCCAAAGTGCATAGGTGGGTTTTTAAGAGCAGTTTTTAATTCTTGTGGGAGGAAGTCCCAAAGGCAAGGAGCAATCATGGAGAAGGCCCTATCTCTCGTTCCCACCAGCTGTGCTTGAGACAAGGTGGGATTGAGAGCAGGGACTCCTTCTTTCCAATTCCTTCCTCTGAAATACAGCATGGTGTTTATTGGCAGTTTCCGATCCAAGTACTAACAAGGGCTGACTGTGCTTAGCTTCCAAGGTCAGATAGGATATGGTGCCTTTAGGGCATTTAGGGTCCTATTGCTGCATGGCAAAAATGTAATATTACTTGGTCCTGTTGGAATCAGGCTATTTTCCAAGGATAGCAACTGACAAGCACTTTAATTTTAACACAATGAGGTACAAACATGTGGCATAAAAATGTTGAAATGCTGAGCTATTCATTTTTTCTTGCAGGGCTGTACTTAGATATGATAAGGGATAATGTGTCTCTTGCCAAAAACAGCAGCTCCACATCTCTTCCCCTTCCCTGTCCCATAATCAGCAAGGCTTCAAAGTGTCCCAGCTCCCATTTCACTTCGTAATAAAAACACTTGCATGGAAATTCTTACCATGATAATATTACATCACATACTTGTATCACTTTGGGAGAAAGGAGAAAGAGATCTACAAATGTGTTTGAAGCAACATATGCTCCAGCTGCCCAGAAGTTAGAAAGAAGCATTAAGTCAATGATATACAGTGTGTGCAAAAACACTACGTTAACTTTAAATAAACTGTCAGCAACCCCGAAACAGCTTCATTTATGGCCAGCTGTATCAGCTCTTCTACAACAGCCATTGCATAGTAAAGAATGGAGCAAAGCTGTTGTAAGGAAATACAAAGTGCATTACTTGAGATTGCTTATGTGCCATGCTAAAGGAATTCCAGACACATAATATTTAGCAGCAAACATTTTAGGAAGATGCTTCAAAACCCTAAAGGTACCTGTCTGCACTTGGAGGTTAAGCAGGATCAACACTGGTTAGTGCTGGGATGAAAGACTGCCAACAAATATCAGATGCCGTATTTCAGAAGAAGGAACTGAGCAAAGAGTGAGCCTGGCTAAGGAAGCAAGGATCAACAAAAACATTTCGTTGAATATGGTGAAAACAAGAGAATGATCAAGAACACACTGGGACTGTTGTTCAGTAAGGATCGCATCAAGAGGCAGAATTGTCCAATATCTATTTTGCTTTAGTTTTCTTCCAAAAAGAGGACTGTGTGTTTTCATGTGGCAGCATAGACCTTGACAAGGGAGCTGGATTGCAAATCAAGACTGATATGGAGTTACTCAGGAATCACTTGGCTAACCTAAATGAGTTCAAATCTGCAAGGCCAGATGAACTGAATTCCAGGGATAACTTGCTAATATACACTCTGAACCACTTGCCATCATTTCTGGGAAATCTTGAAGAACAGATGAGGTGCCAAAGGGCTGGGAGAAGGTGAGATGCCAAAGGAGAAGATCCAGGAAATTACAGACCAGTCAGCCTGACCTCAATATCAGGAAAATTATTAGAACTGATAATACAGGTGTCCGTGGCCCCTTCTACACTGCCATTAAAAAAAATCCAGATTATCTGCTTTGAACTGGGTTATATGGCAGTGTAGAATCATATAATCCAGTCCAAAGCAGATGTGGATTATCTGATTTGATAATCTGGATTATATGACACTGTAGAAGGGGCCTGGCTGCAAGTATATCTATATATATAAATCTGTTAGGTTGGTTCAACCGGACAGCAAAACTCCACAACCCCCCAACGAAACTGCACCAAAATTGCCATGCCCCAAGGACAACCRACMCYGTACAAARTAATCCACTCAGAATTGAAAACAACACAACAACACACAGATAAATCGRCAAAACAACTGAGCATGCGCACTGGAGCAAAGTCCCCAGCGCGCGCGCACACATGGCCGAACGGCCAACGCACCCTCCGCACTTCCCTCCCTCCCTCGCCCCGCCCAGCACGAACACGTCGCCGCCCACACACACACACACACAAACAATGCAACTTCCCCCCGCCCCCTTCCCTCCACCCCTGGCATAGACACTGTAGTTCACCAACATCCAGACAGCACTGTGGACTCAAACAATGATGGATCCAGACCAAACTTGGCATAAGCATTAAATATGCCCAAATATGAACACAGATGGAGTTTGAGGGAAATAGACCTTGACATTTGGGAGTTGTAGTRYCTGGGATTCAGAGTTCACCAACACTCAAAGAGCATCCTGAACCCCACCAACGACAGAATTGGGGCAAACATGCCACACTGAACCCCCATGACCAACAGAAAATACACAAGTTTACACACAAGCATAAAGAAGGGGGAGGAAGGAGGGATGCCAGAGAGAGAAAGAGAGAGAGAAAGAGGGGAAAGGAAGGAGTGTGAGAGAGAGAAAGAGGGAAAGAGAGAGAGAAAGAGGGGAAAGGAAGGAGTGTGAGAGAGAGAAAGAGGGAAAGAGAGCGAGGGAAGGAAGGAAGAGAGGCCAAGCAGAGACTTCAAAACTCTTACTAAAGGCCACAGCAACGRGTGGCAGGGCACAGCTAGTTGAATATAATGCAGTGATCAGTAGAAACCAGAATGTGTCTGTCAAGATGATTAGATGCAAGTTATTATTGTTACATTTGCAGATGACACAATAGTAGGAGGGGGCCTAACACACTAGAAGATGGGAATCTTTAAAAGAACCTTAATAAACTAGGAAATTGGGCATACATTAACACACTGATATTCAATAGAGGCAAATTCAAAATTCTACATTTAGGTCACAAGAACCAAAGCACAGATATGAGATGGGGAGATACATGACTCAACAGTACTACATGCAAAAAGACCTTGGGATTATATGCTTATTGTAATTGAAAGTAGGTCAGAAGATGATAGGAGGACGTTTTAAACCTGGTGAACTGTTTTTAAAAGTATATTTATTATCATTTTATGTAATTGTGTATTTTATTGGTGTTTTTATATTGTTGGAAGCCGCCCTGAGTCCCTCTTCGGAGGTTGAGAATAGGACGGGATACAACTGTTCTAAATAATAATTAAACAAATAAATGCTGCACCAAATACAGCCTGCATTAATACAAGCATAGTTTCCAAATTGTGGAAAATAATAGCCCCACTATGTTCTGCACTGATCGGGCTACATCTGGAGTTTTGCATTTAGTCATGGTCACTCATTTTAAGAAGTTGTAGCAGGTTCAAAGAAGGCCAACAAGGATGCTATGTGGATGCTATGTTGAAGAAGCTGGATATATTCAGCCTGCTGATTGTACTTTTGAAATACCTCAGAGGCTCCCATAGAGAGGAGGAGTAGGCCTTTCTCTGTAGATAGAAGAACCAGGTCTAATGGTTTTAAGTTACAGAAAAGCAGGTTTCAACTGAACAACAGAAGAAACTTCTTGACCGAACTATTCGAGCAATATAATCAATTGCCAAGAAAGATGGTGGCATCTCCTTCTTTGGACATCTTCAAAAGGAAACCAGACCTACTGGAGATGCTTTAGCTGGAGATCTGGCATTGGACTCAATGGCCCTTGAGACCTCTTCCAGTTCTGCTTCTGTAGCATAACTACTTCTGAGTATTCTGTGCTTAAGAAAACTCTGTGAAATTCATGGGGTCACCATAAATTGAGACTTGAAGGCACATATACACTTACATTTTTTTTTGTAAAAATTATGACCATTGGACAGTGAAGCACAAGAGAACTTTTTCTATATTGTCGAAGACTGCCATGGCCAAGTGGCCAGATTCTGGTCAAAGGACATTTAATCAACTACCAAGCTTGAAAATTTTGTGTTTTGTCTGTTTGTTTTGTTCTGTTAGAAATGTTATACAATTGTCTGGTTGCCCCTGACACGATAAATAATATGTCCAGAATCACTGGGTTATTGTGAGCTTTTCGGGCTGCATGGCAATGTTCCAGAAGTAATCTCTCCTGATGTTTCGCGTGCATCTATGGCAGGCAAAATGTCAGGAGAGAATGCTTCCGGAACGTGGCCACACAGCCCGAAAGCTCACAACAACCCAGAACTTTTTCTTTCTGCCCCGTCGCAGCTTTTTCGCTGTGCACTGTCCACTACAGCTGACATAAGTTATTTCACATGCAGTCAATGCTCCACATTTGAAATGACTAGGTACTCATAGTTGTTTTTGCTTAAGAACCTATAAATACATCTCCAGAGACTCTAAATTGGAGGTAGATATTTCCCTGATATAGATGCCAAGAATTCAACCAATTATTGAAGCGGCAAACTGTCATGAGCAATTTTACTTAGTCTAGAAAAATAAAATCCGTAAAGACAACTGGATATTCTTTCAGAATAAGAAATGAACCTGCTGGTTTTACTTGGAAGAGTGATGTCGGAGTTAAAGTTTTAAGGACACAGGCTCATCAATATAAAGCAAAAGCATTAAGCTGTATAAATTCCAATTACTCTCCTGTGGGTGTTTTACAAAGGAATCTCTAGAGCGGTCATATCCATTTCAAAGATGAAATAAATAAGCTTTTATGGGAAATTAGTACTTCAATAATCTTCCTTTCTCTGAAGAAACAGAACTTGTGTCTCCATACAAAAGACCACCACTGTCCAGTCTCCTCAACTAATTCCAACATCTTCAAGCTTAATTCCAAGTATAACTCATCCTATTTAATTTTTTTGTCAAAAATTGTGGATAATGGAAGCCTGGTACTTATTGTGAATATTTCTTCTGGGGTGGTGTGAAGGAAACATTTGAAAAGATGGGTTAAAAGTCCTACTAGTTAAGAAGAAAGGGATCACATGAATGTAATTTTGGGTCTTATACTTGTGCTCATGGGTCTCCAAAGTTCATTGTCTATTCAAGCTTGTAGCAAAAGCTTAAATAATCTCATGAATAGTAATTACTCACCCTTCAAAGATAATGAGAGAGGCAGAAGACTTTGGGTTCCCCAAAAGCCTCACACTAATGATGGAGATGTTTACTATTCAGTGATGGGTAATGAAGAGACTTATGAATCACCATTTTGGAGGCTTATCTGTTCCAGTTGGAAGGAAGCTGCATAAAGTCAGTAACTCTCTGCAGGGCTTGCAAGTGGCAGACAACTCCTCAATGGAAGTTAGCCAATGCTTGCAGGCCCAGCAGAAAGCACCCCATTTCTCTTTCTCCACTTACACACAATAATGGCAGATGGGCAAAGCTGGGCTCCTAGTTGAGGCACCCAGTGGAAAAACTTCACTAGGTGCTTTGGTGAAGGACCCACTGCCATCACAACCAAGAACTAGTGTCCTATAAATGCCCTATCTGACTTATAAGAAAAAAATATTGCCCATAAAATGCTACCTTTGTGAGTTACAAGGTATAGCAATGTTCCATTTACAAAGTAATGAACTGGCTGCTAATATTACCTTTTTTGCATGCAACTAATAACATTTACTTGTCATTTTATTCACTTTGGGTGGGCAAAAATTGCACTAGGGACATTTTCAGTCATGTCTCCCCCTAAGTTTCACTTCACTTTATATTATTATTATTATTATTATTATTATTATTATTATTATTATTATTATTATGTGATACATAACAAGATCACTATGCTGGCTTTTGTATTTGATCTCATGTCAGACACTTCCCAAGTGTCTATGACTGTGCGATGTATCGGCAAATAATGCATGCAGATCCGAGTAGGGTGGCCTTTTGCAGCTGACAGGTGATAATTTTGTCAGCGCTGATTATTTTTAAGTGCAGGCCAAGGTCTTTAGGCACTGCACTCAATGTGGTGATCCATCACTGGGACCACCTTTACTGGCTTGTGCCAGTGTCTTTGCAGTTCAAATGATGCGCGCAGATCCAAGTAAGGTAGCCTTTTGCAGTTGACAGATCGTGATTTTATCTATGTTATTAAATCCCCATATCGTGTAAGCTTTTCCAGTTGCTTCTCGACAATCCTGCTGTTGCCTGGAATTGCAACATCGATGATCCATACTTGTTTTTTTCCCCACAATTGTGAGGTCAGGAGTATTGTGCTCCAAAACTCTGTCAGTCTGAATTATTATTCTTCAGTATATCACAGCAAACAAGATCTATATGCTGGATTTCGTATCACAAAATCACAGGTCGAACACTTCCCAAGCATCTAGTACTGTGTGATGTATTTGCGAATGATGTGCACAGATCCAAGTAAGGTGGCCTTTTGCAGTTGTCAGATCGTGATTTTGTCGATGTTTATTGTTTCCAAATGCCGGCTGAGATCTTTTGGCACGGCACCCAGTGTGCCAATGACCACTAGGATAACCTGTACTGGTTTATGCCAGAGCCTTTGCAGTTCGATTTTGAGGTCTTGATGGCGGCTGAGTTTTTCCTGTTGTTTTTCCTCAATGCGGCTGTCACCTGGTATGGTGACATCAATAATCCAGACTTTTTCTTTTCCACAATCGTGATGTCTGGCATGTTGTGTTCCAAAACTTTGTCAGTCTGGATTTGAAAGCCCCACAGTATTTTTGCATGCTCATTTTCCACAACTTTTGTGGGTTTATGATCCTACCAATTCTTTACGGCTGGCAGGTGGTACTTGTGACATAAGTTCCAGTGAATCATTATTATCATCATCATCATCATCATCATCATCATCATCACGTTTTTGTTCCATGGGTAGAACTCAAAGCGACAAACATTCAGACTTTCTTAATATCTTAGATAATTTTTTATCTGAAAAAAACTAAAAAGTAACCAAAAATAATTAGTCACAGTTAAAATGCTGCATACTATTGGTACCAAATGGCTTTAAATTTTGAGGATTGTGGAAGGGGATGATAATTTTGCAACTATTTACCCAATGACTTCCATTTCAAAATAAACTCTAAAGCTCTCACCAAGCTGTGGAATCTGCTTGTAGTGATATCTCTGGGGTCTGTGGCTTCCCTGCCTATTTCCTCTGAGGAATGTGGACAAGACTGCTTGCCAGATGTTCTTTTCTTTTGAAATCTCTGTCTTTATTTCTAAGAGGAGAAAGGAAAGACTCTGTTGATGAAGACTGGCTGGGCTTTCCAACTCTGGACTTGGCTGGCTTTTGTTGCTTTCTCAGGTGATGCTCAGGGCTGCTTACTTAATTCTTTTTACAATGGGGTTGCAATGCTTGAGACAAGCCAGAATGAGAAGATAGCAAATGAAGCCATCTGGTGGCAATGGAGCCATCTGGCGGGCAGCAGGGGGAACAGCAATAAGAATAATGGTGGAATAAGGTCAATGAAACTCTAAGAGAGGAGAAAACATTTAGGGAGAAATTGCTAAGGAGTTACTTGTCTTAAGTTTTGTGTGCTTGATGCTTCAGGAGGCTGGCTTCTGTTAAGCTGATTTCCTCCAAGACAAAGATAACAATTGGTTCTGGATTAAAGAAGCCAAATGAAGTAGCTGAGCATGGGCAGAGGAACAGGTCTCAGCAAGAGTGCTTTATTTGGCCGAGCCAAAACTAACAAAATTAATTCCAACAAGAACAAATGTAAGATACTACACTTAGGTAGAAAAAAATGAAATGCAAAGATACAGCCTGGCTTGACAACAGTTCATGTGAAAAGGATCTTGGAGTGTTTGTAGACAACAAGTTGAACCTGAGTCAACAGCGTGATGCAGCAGCTAAAAAGGCCAATGAGATTTGGGCTGCATCAAAAGGAGTATAGTGTCTAGATCAGTGGTTCTCAACCTGCAGGTCCCCAGGTGTTTTGGCCTAGAAGAAGAAGAGGTAGAGGTAGAGGAGGAGGAGGAGGAGGAGGAGGAGGAGGAGGAAGACCAACAACAACAACAACAAAAACAACAACTTTATTTTTCTACTCTACCTCCATCTCCCCGAAGGGACTCACGGCAGCTTACAGGGGCCAAGCCAACATATAATTAAAAACAGAACAATAAAATATTAAAACATAAGAGCAGCATCATAAACAAACATCATAAGCAACAACTGAGATACCTCTAGTCTCATTTTTGGGGGAGAGGGGACCAGTGCGGAAACAAGTTAGAGGATAGGCTGGTCAAAAAGGTGGATACAATGTATAGTAGAATAGGAATAAAGCAATTATAAGTAGAGACATCAGACTGGCAACAAAGATCCGCCTAGTCAAAGCCATGGTATTCCCTGTAGTAACCTACGGATGTGAGAGCTGGACCTTAGGGAAGGCTGAGCGAAGGAAGATCGATGCTTTTGAGCTGTGGTGTTGGAGGAAAGTTCTGAGAGTGCCTTGGACTGCAAGAAGATCCAACCAGTCCATCCTCCAGGAAATAAAGCCCGACTGCTCACTGGAGGGAAAGATATTAGAGACAAAGTTGAAGTACTTTGGCCACATCATGAGGAGACAGGAAAGCCTAGAGAAGACAATTATGCTGGGGAAAGTGGAAGGCAAAAGGAAGAGGGGCCGACCAAGGGCAAGATGGATGGATGGCATCCTTGAAGTGACTGGACTGACCTTGAAGGAGCTGGGGGTGGTGACAGCCGACAGGGAGCTCTGGCGTGGGCTGGTCCATGAGGTCACGAAGAGTCGGAGACGACTGAACGAATGAACAACAACAACAACAGGATTATTTCAGCTTAACTTAAAAGTGTAGTAATCAAAAATAGGAACTTGAATTCAGGTCATGGTTAAGGACCATCTGTCAAAGGAACTGTCAACTGAATGCACAACAAAACATCCACGTCTTTAGTTCCTAATGGAATGTGGATAAGGAGGGTTTACCGGCTGTTAGGATTTCTGGGAGTTGAAGGCCAAAACATCTGGGGACCTCTACAGGTTGAGAATCACTGGTCTAGATCAAGGGAAGGCTTAATGTCTTTGCATTCTGCTTTGGTTAGACCTCACCTGGAATACTTTGTCTAATTCTGGGCATCCCAGTTCAAGAGACATTGACAAGCTGGAAGGTGTTCAGAGGAGGGCAACTAAAATGATCAATGATATGGAGACCATGCCCTATGAGAAGCAACTTAAAGGAGGCATGATAGCCATGTATAAATATGTGAAAGGATGTCATAAGAAAGAGAGAGAGGGCTTTTCTGTTGCTTTGGAAACTAGGACTCAAAGCAATGGATGCTAAATACAGGAAATGAGATTCCACCTGAACATTAGGAAAAACTTCCTAACTGTGAGAGCTGTTCAGCAGTGGAACTCTCTGCCTTGGAGTGTGGCGCAAGATCCTTGGAAGTTTTTAAACAGAGGCCCCCAACCCTCTCATGGCAGGGGGTTGGACTAGATGGCCCATATGGTTCTTCCAAATCTATAATTCAATGATTCTAGGGTTCAAAAAGGCAGCCTCTGTCCTTGGACTACATATGGACAGAGGTACTTGAGGGGATGTCCTGGAAATACATATATATATGTATGTATGTTTATTTGTTCAGTCGCTTCCAACTCTTTGTGGTCTCATGGACCAGCCCATACCAGAGCTCCCTATCAACTGTGGCCACCCCCAGATCCTTCAAGGTCAAGCCAGTCACTTCAAGGATAACATCCATGCATCTTACCCTTGGTTGGCCCATCTTCCTTTTTCCTCTCATTTCCCCCAACATCATTATCTTCTCCAAGCTATCCTGTCTTCTCATTATGTGACCAAAATACTTCATCTTTGCCTCTAATATCCTTTGAGGGCCAATGTGGTCCCAATCTTCAAGAAGGGAAAAAAGGATGACCCAAACAATTACCGTCCAGTCAGCCTCACATCGATACAAGGCAAGATTCTGGAAAAGATTGCTAAGGAAGTGGTTTGCAAACACTTAGAAACAAATGCGGTCATTGCTAATAGTCAATACAGATTTATCAAAAACAAGTCATGCCAGACTAATCTGATCTCTTTTTTCAAGAGTTACAAGCTGGGTAGCATAACTGGATTTCAGTAAGGCCTTCGACAAGGTCCCCCATGACCTTCTGGCAAACAAACTAGTCCAATGTGGCCTAGGCAAAACTACGGTTAGGTGGATCTGTAATTGGTTAAGTGGACGAACCCAGAGGGTGCTCACCTCTTCATCTTGGAAAGAAGTGATGAGCAGAGTGCCACAGGGTTCCGTCCTGGGCCCAGTTCTGTTCAACATCTTTATTAATGACTTAGATGAAGGGTTAGAAGACATGATCATCAAGTTTGCAAACAACATCAAATTGGGAGGGATAGCTAATACTCCAGAAGACAGAAGCAGAATTCAAAATGATCTGAACAGATTAGAGAGATAATGGGCCAAAACTGACAAAATGAAGTTCAGTGGTGACAACTGAAAGATACTCCACTTAGGCAGAAAAAATGAAATGCAAAGATACAGAATGGGGGACGCGTGGCTCGAGGGCAGTATGTGTGAAAAAATCTTGGAGTCCTCATGGACAACAAGTTAAACATGAACCAACAATGTGTTGCGATGACAAAAAAAGCCAATGGGATTTTGGCCTGCATCAATAGGACTATAGTGTCTAGATCCAGGGAAGTCATGCTACCCCTCTATTCTGCCTTGGTCAGACTACACCTGGAGTATTGTGTCCAATTCTGGGCACCACAATTGAAGAGAGATATTGACAAGGTGTAATGTGTCCAGAGGAGGATGACTAAAATGATCAAGGGTCTGGAGAACAAGCCCTATGAGGAGCAGCTTAAGGAGCTGGGCATGTTTAGCCTGAAGAAGAGAAGGCTGAGAGGAGATATGATAGCCATGTAAATATGTGAGAGGAAGCCACAGGGAGGAGGGAGCAAGCTTGTTTTCTGCTGCCTTGGAGACTAAGACATGGAACAATGGCTTCAAACTACAAGAAAGGCGATTCCATCTGAACATTAGGAAGAACTTCCTGACTGTGAGAGCTGTTCAGCAGTGGAACTGCCCCGGGATGTGGTGGAGGTTCCTTCTTTGGAAGCTTTTAAACAGAGGCTGGATGGCCATCTGTCAGGGGTACTTTGAATGCAATTTTCCTGCTTCTTGGCGGGGGGTGGACTGGATGGCCCCTGAGGTCTCTTCCAACTCTATAATTCTATGATTCTATGATTTCCTCCAATGAGCAGTCGGGCTTTATTTTCTGGAGGATGGACTGGTTGGATCTTCTTGCAATCCAAGGCACTCTCAGAATTTTCCTCCAACACCACAGTTCAAAAGTGTCTATCTTCCTTTGCTCAGCATTCCTTATGGTCCAGCTCTCACATCCACAGGTTACTACAGGAAATATCACTGCTTTAACTATGTGGACCTTTGTTCCTAATGTGATGTCTCTACTCTCAACTATATTATCAAGATTTCCTGGCTTCAGTCTGTATCTGCAGGAATTTTAGTGCCTAGAAATACGAAGTCTGTCACTGCCTCCTTGTTTTCTACACATATACATACATACATACATACACACACACACACACACACACACACACACACATATAGACAGTCTAGATTGGGCAAGTTTCTGTTGTACCAATCAAGACTGAGATATGACTAGCTATGTTAACATACCTTGTAGAAAAAAATGGCCAGAATACTATCTGATCTTTCACTTGAGTATGAATTTGTGTTCATTAACTACATACAGGTCTTGCACATCTTTGCAATTCTAATTTCCCCGCACGCAAGTCTAATTGCAAATATGCATCTCTCATATAGGAGTTTGGATATTATTTTCTATTTTGTGAATTTTTTGTTGTTGCCAAAAATGCAGTGTGTGAGTGGAAAATCTGGAAATAAAACTCTGTGCACGTTAGAGCTTCTGGGAGTACCTAACCTGCTGGAAAACATATGGATTAAATTTGATCATACACTTGAGGGTAAGAAGTATAGTCACATGAACTACATATCTTTGTTGGGAGGCACTTACCATTTCAGGTTTTACAAAGAAACACACAAAAATTTGCAGACATTTATCACATCTTGGATAAATGTTCTTAATATAATATCTAAATAGTAGCCTAATGTGTTTTTTTCCTCTCAGTATACATGCAGATTCCCAGGATTTTATGCTAGAGTTGGAGAAAGCTGCTCTGGCAAATTTCTTTCTGCTAACATAACATCAAATGGAATCTGATGTCACACTTTTGCAAAGACAAACATCATTAAAAAAACAAAAAAACAGTGTTTTAATTAATGTTATGAGATGCATAACAATATTTTATTGCTAGGCATATCAAACACTACTTTAATTATACATGAAGCAACAGGCCAGTGGGGATTGCATTACTGGCGTCTTCATGATACTTATTTAGGCCACAGTTGTTACGATAGCATTTGATCAAACACTAGACTAAGCAGTTCTCATGGTATAACAGAAGGTAATATCTGAATATTGACCCAATGCTGACTATTTCAGATCATGTAATAATTTTGCAAAATGAAATACACCTAATGCGTTTATTTTCACACTATCTGACTTCTATTTCAGCTTTAGTTATTCCTTCTTCAATCTGTCACCAATAAAGGAGATTACTTTCAAACTGCTCTCAATGCGTACAGAAATTAGATAGCTACACCTTTTCCTATCCAGCACAGAAATATTTTTGTAAGTACTTGTAATTGTGCAATTTCCTATTTAAAATCTCAGACAAATATAGATGATATAAAGCAAATTGTTTTAAGAGAGAGTGTATATTTTTGGGCACTGAAAAACACTTTTGAAGCACTCGTGTTTTTATGCACTGGAAAATCCTTACAGATCAGCGATAACAGGTTATTAAGTCTAACAATTGAAACTATTGCTTTGAATAATTATATCTGGTTATATACCCCTAGAGATTCTACTCTAAACGTTTTTTGGCTCTTCTCTGAAAGGTCATGCTTTTCTTAAAAGTTATGATCTTCAAAAGATGTTTCTTCCAAAAGATTTTGAATGCCATTTTCCAAAAGGAAAAAAAAACATAATCCATAATTTTTGTCTGAAAATGTGCACTGGATTTATACATGAGGTTGACTTATTCATGAGTATACATGAGTAAGTAATAATTCCCTTTTATTGTGATACTGTTATACAATATTAATGTTATAATATTGTAAGTACTTACCACTTGGCTTACATCATATCCCCATGGTAGAAAAAGAACTCCTGTGTTGTATTTTTCCCAGTGCGAAAACATAAAATTTAACAAGATGACACTTAATGCCAAATACATGGTAAAGACAGTACTTCCAGATTTCCTATTTGTACGGGAACACATGGAATAAAAGGAGAGAGCAAGAACTGAGGAGGCCCAGCTGTCTAGTCCATGATCAAACAACTCTCCCAGAGGTGTACTGGACTGAGTCCTTCGAGCATGTTTTCCATCTATAGAATCTAGAAAGGAACAAAAAAGAACTTGAAGCAGATGGAAAGCAACATACATCTGAGATACTGGCTTCATCTTTTGCTTTCTGAATTAGTTCTTTTATTTTCATGCTTTCAAACTGCTGTGAATGTCTATGGCAGTGGTTCTCAACTTGTGGATCCCCAGGCGTTTTAGCCTACAACTCCTAGAAATCCCAACCAATCTACCAGCTGTTAGTATTTCTGGGAGTTGAAGGCCAAAACATCTAGGGACTCGCAGGTTGAGAACCATTGGTCTATGGTAATTAGGAGTATATTTAATTATTCACTTTTTTTATGTCACTGGAAAAACTGGGGGTTTATCACTATCATCATTTCTCTATTAATTCAGATTTAATATGGAATCTCTAGACCTCAGACAAAGGCCCAAGGGTTGGATACGGCCCTCCAAGGTCATTTACCCGGCCCTCACTCAGGGTCAACCTAAGTCTGAAATGACTTGAAAGCACCCAACAACAACAATCCTATCTCATCAGCCAAAATCAGGTCCACACTTCCCATTGAAATACTAAGAAGTTTATATTTGTTAAAAATTTTCTTCATTTTAATTATTGTATTGATTTTAAGTGTGTTTTGCAATACAAATAAGATACGTGCAGTGTGCATAGGAATTCATTCACGCTTTTTTCAAATTATAATCTGGCCCTCCAGCAGTTTGAGGGACTATGACTTGGCCCTCTGTTTAAGAAGTTTGAGGACCCCTGCTCTAGAAAGATATGCATCCCTAATGTGAGATAAATCACTGCTTCTTAAACTGTGGGTCTCGACCTCAAATGGGGCCTTCTTCGCCAGGCCGTTGGGAATTGTGGGAGTTGAAGTTCAAAACACCTGGAGGGCTGAAGTTTGCCCATGCCTGATTTAACCTATTCCCTCCGTCTCTCAAAGGATCCATAAATTCATTCTGCTCTCCCTACACTCTCATCCACCTTAGAGCTTGGGCACAAAACCAATGCAAGGTCATTTTGATCCTGAAATTAGTAATGTTTCTGCTGTGATATTTACACAGACTTAAAAAAAAAAAGAAACACAATTTTGACTGCATGGGACACCTTTATATACCCAGGTGAACTACAAAGGCTTTGTTTCTGAGATAATCCCATTAGTGGTCTGACCAGATTAGGGCAGTGGGGAGGACCTCAGCCACTGGCGAACTGAACACCTCTGGAGAGGGACCAGCTGCAGCAGCAACATAAAGAATGTTGTTGTTTAGAAAGTAAAACCCACTGGTTTTCTTTGTCATCATGGAATTCACCTGTTTGACCAGCAAGCTAGAGCAAAAAGTCATCTTGTTCTAATGAAACACATAGAGAGGAACATGTTCAGACACACAGCTTTCATTAAAGATACAACTTTGTATGGTATTTCTGATCATACTTTACCTAAAGTATAAGCACAGAAGGTGACGAAACCACCAAACACCCAAACCCATGTCGGAATCAACCCAGGACTGGAAGCTGCCCAAAGGAAAAAGAAACCGCGATTAAAATACTGAAATGTCTGCTTCAGACATGTTTCTCTATTTCCTTTTGGGAAATATACCTGGTTAATTTCTTGATTGTTCCGTTTGAATTATTATTCACAATGTCACATTGTCAATAACTTAATACCAATTTTATTTATTTACTATATTTCTACCCTGCTCTATCTAAAAAGAGTTTCTCTATGAAGAACCTAACCTCAGTCCTTACATCTCCTTGTTAGTTTCTGTCTTTTAAAAAAATCCACGCCTGACAATATATGCCAATATCATACTCAGGTATGTTAATTATTTCACAGTTCTTTTATAAAAGCACATGCTATCATTCAGTTTTTCAAAAACAGTTGAATGGTGTTACCTGATGCAGTGTAGTCCCAGTCGTAAAAGGATAATATAAAAAAATTAATTAATATCATCAAAAATCCAATGAAGGTTAAAAGATTTGGAGCAATCCACAAAGGCACTATCTGTGGGATTTTAAAAAGAGAGAGAAAATGGGATTGGTGAGTTGTAATTTGAAAACCTAGTTACTTTGTCTGAAGAGGTAGAGTAAAGATTAAAAGGCGGCACCACTACATCTTGGTAGTTTAATGAGAAGCAGATGGTAGTATCTTCAACTTGTTCCCAGTATCCAGTACAGAAAGTCCCTGAGTTACAAACATCCAACTTACAAATGACTCATAGTTAAGAACGGAGGTGAGACAACAGGAAGTGACAGAAATCTACCCCTAGGAAGTAAAATTAACTTCTGAAAGAATTATCAAAACACAAAGTGTTGGTTTTGACCTTTAAAGCCCTACATGGTCTAGGTCCAGGTTGCCTAAATGGTTTAGGTCCAGGATATTTGAAAAACCGCATCTCCTCTTATAAACCCACTTGGACACTGCAGTTAGCGGAGGAGGCCCTACTCTCAGTCCCACCCGCACCTCAAGTACGGCTAGTGGGAAGAAGAGAGAGGTCCTTCTCTGTGATTACATCCCACCTCTGAAGTGCCCTCCCTAAAGAAATAAAAACGTCCCCTTCCCTCCTCTCCTTCAAAAAACAATTAAAAACCCACTTGTGCTCTATCATATGGAGAGGAGGAGAACTAGAGAATGACAGTCAACTGATATACCTCTGACCGGATATTATCATTGCACTCTGGCTGGCACTATGGACATTATTGCAATTATAGTCAATTTTAAATCTTTTAATGAACCTTTGGGAGCTCTGCAAATTGAGGTTCATGATTTTATGGTTAGATATAATTTTACTGTTTATTGTTTGTGTTTAAATCTTATGCTATAATTAGTTGTTCTATATTGGTTTGCTTTGGGATTGGGTGGGTCATTAGTGTATTTATGTTTGTACTTGTCTTGAGGCATTGAATGTTTGCCTTTGTGTTTTCGTTTGTTGGAATCTGCTAGGAAAGGAAGGGAGGAATACAAATAAAGTCATCATCATCATCATCATCATCATCATCATCATCATCATTATTATTATTATTACAGGATTGCCTTCTCCAGTACAATTCTTCCCGAGCACTTAGGTCCTCTTGGGGGCGGCTACTCCAACCGGCCAGAACACAAATGGCAACCGTCACCCATCAGCCACCCCAAGACTGCGGAATGACCTGCTGGAAGAGTTCCAACAGCTAAATGAGTTGTCGGAATTTAAAACCCATCTGAAGATCTATTTCTTCTGGCAGGCCTACCAAGCCAGTTTTAATCATGAATGTTAAACTCACATCCTGTGTATTAATCTTTGTTCTGTGTATTTTAATATGTATTTTATAGAAATACATTTTAATATGTGTATCTTGCAGAATGTTTTAGATGACTCTGTGTGTTTTAGAGTGCAGTCATGCCAGCCACATGACCTTGGAGGTCTATGGACAACATCGGCTCTTCAGCTTAGAAATGGAGATGAGCACCACACACCAGAGTTGGATACGACTACACAATGTCAGGGGGAAACCTTTACCAATGTGTATTGTAATGTTGATGTAACCCACCTTGAGTTATGAGGAGAGGTGGATAAGAAATAAAATCATCATCATCACCATCACCATCATGGGGGAAGTTGTCTCAATTGAAGTTTTATTTCCAATCCTTGTTTCCACAACAAGCCATTTTTTTCAAAATCCAATCATCACAGGGATAGAAAATAAGGTGAAATCTTCTGAACAGGGGCACAGACAACAAAACAAACACCACAGGGGTGTTAAATCTTCCCTATCCAAAGAGATATATATGCTAGAGTTACATTTAAAAATGTACCTGTTCTGACTTACATACAAATTCAACTTAGGAACAAACCTAGAGAACTTATCTTGTTCATAACTTAGGGACTGCTTGCACTATGATCAGAATACTGCTATGTACTTCCATATATCTAAGTTTCCCTTACACATTCTGAGGTCCTTTTTCATGTACTGTGGAGGTTGCATAACCTTTTTTCTTCTACCCAAGCCCCCTTGAAGGCACATTTCACAGTGAGCAGGTGGGATTAGAGAAGTATCTGGCTACATCTGCAAAACCCAACATGAGCACTGAGATTTGATGAGGTCTTTCAGGAGTGTCAAGCTATCTCAGAACTACACTGTCCAGCACACATTTTGGTATCTTGAATATTTGCCCTGCTGATTCCAAAAAATGGCACCAGTTTTCCTCTATCAGAGTTAGTTTTTGAGATACAGAATATATGACATATATCAGTCTCCATCTGCTCACTCATAATAAATCATGATAATCATATCCAAGAGACTAGAGCTGATGCAATTTCCGAATCAGAAATAGGGCTAAAAACCAAGACATGTTGGGCCATGTTATCACTGTGTCAGGCTTGTCTGCTTAAGGATATACCTAGATATTTTGTAGACCCTGCCTGTTTGCCACAAATTATAGAATAATTGTATGGGTCAGCATCACAGGCATTTCAGTAAGTTAAGGGTAGCAAATACAGCTGAGTGTAGTATAGACTCACGAGTGAATATTTACACTACATCAAGGGGATGTAATTTTGAGGCCAATAAATGTACCTACAAACTCTTTAATTCTTTAAATTCTGAAGGAAGGAGGAGATACATGCAGATATGGTACCATCAAATATAGTAGCATGTTTTTAAATTAGTAGCCTAATGCACCTACTTCAGCTGAATAAAGACTTTTCTCAAATATCAAATCTAGACTTTACTGTAAGAGTTACTACTTTGACCAAAAATTACCCATTGTTCACTTTTACTTTTTTCTTTCATTCTTCTATTTTTTTTATTTACTACAGACAGGCAATATCTCTTATTATAATTGTGTGGCAATTGATTGCACGATGCCTTTTTAACCAGACTTTTTAACCAAAATGAAATGAATCTGCTGCAGGAAGAAACCAATGTTCAAAAGGGAAAAGACCAGGGAACTAGGAAATGTCACATCCAATTGAGTTCGAGGTTGTGGATAACGTACTGGAGGGAGAAAGTAGAACAGTCTCTGTTACATTGCCCTGATTCTACCTCATTTTCTCAGAATATGTGGTGATAAACTATGAATGGAGGCCTTGATTCTGGTAAGTGTAATTTATGACAGAAATCGTGGTAAATAATTAACTAGTTCACGATATGGTCACAAATGTGAGTGTATCATCCAGAGCTTTCTAGGCCAAGTCAGTGGATTTGAGAACTGTGGAGAAATTCTATACAAATATAATGGCCAAATGAGGTCATACCTCCCTTATCTAATAAAACACATCTGCCCAACATCACAAAACCAGGCTGGGCATTCTATTGTTTTATTAGGGTTCATTATGCCTTTTTCAGACATGTATCATAGGCATTATTGCAGCTGCTTAAAATTATTATGCAAGGTTTCAACATACTATGATCTTGCTTGCTTAGGACTTGCTACTTGTCTTTACCTGAGCAATGGCAGGAAAAATCCAGGTGTTCCTAGATGATAATGAACATCATCCATATATGTCTAAATCAGAAATTATGTTGGACTTCAAATTCCCAGCCGTTCTAAGCTACCATTGCCAATAATGAGTTTCTGGGAGTGGGAATCTGACAGCATTTGGAGGACTCCATTATTCCCACTTCCCTTTCAAACAAAAACTGCAAGTTTGATTAAAAAGAAAACCTCCACTCAATCTTTTTAAGCTGAGGATGTCAAAACCTAGTGTCTTATGGAGGATCTACTTGAGAAGTTTCAAACGTAGTGTTAAGCGACTGCTATTCAAGAAAAATCAGCAGCATTTTTTTAATTTGTTGGATATGGGATAAAAATCTAAAGATGACTGTGGACAACATAAAAACAATCATAGAAACATAGAATCATGCAATTGGAAGAGACCTCGTGGGCCATACAGTCCAACCCCTTGCCAAGAAGCAAGAAAATCGCATTCAAAGCAACCCCAACAGATAGCCATCCAGCCTCTGTTTAAACGTCTCCAAAGAAGGAGCCTCTACCACACTCCAGGGCAGAGAGTTCCATTGCTAAACAGTTCTCACAGTCAGGAAGTACTTTCTAATGTTCAGGTGGAATCTCCTTTCCTGTAGTTTGAAGCCATTGTTCCACGTCCTAGTCTCTAGGACAGCAGAAAACAAGCTTGCCCCCTCTGCTCTGTGACTTCCCCTCACATATTTATACATATGGTCTAGACACAATGAAGTTTTCTATATAGCGCAGCATCACTCTTGACATTCATAGTTAAAGTGTGCCAGATCTCTGGTGGACAAGTAGAAACCATGGCTATGAGCAGATTTTATCAGTAGCAAGTTTAGCAACTGATAAATCAATTGTACTACTGTTGTATCGGCTGTATCAGTTGAACTCAATTGTTAGTCCAGCTAAAGTAAACTCCTTCAGCCTATGTGACATATTTATGTATTAATTTACTAATCGATTATGGATTCTCTGGATACTGTACAATTAGGAGTGAACAAATATGATGCAGGCCCTTTTGTTGATACAATAGCATTTTCTCATTTGAAGCATTTGCTGGTGCAAAACATAACTTGCTCTTCTCTCTCATAAATGCACACTTATATATTTTTCCTGACCTCAATTTCTTCCCACACAGCTTCCCTGGAGGACAGAAAATAGCATATTGTGGTTGTTCCTTTCACAGAAGATCCTCACCCCTCCCTTCTATCCTGTTGCTGATTAAAATACCTTGGGATGGTGAAAGAGATATGAGATTAGTAATGAGATGAGTGGATAAATGTGGGAGTTGTTCCTAAAATACCTCAGGCTCCTACATTTTCCAACCAACTTGCAATTCTGCTATCCTTGCTTATCTGTCAGTGTGAAAAAGAAGGCATTCCAGGGCCATACGCACTGTTACTCTAAGATGTTCTCTCCCACATTACCTTCTGAATTAGATGATAACTGTGATAAAGGAAGACGAAAGCAGAACTTTGAGGTGTCAGGTAGAACTAAGCTTGCAGTACGTACAAATACTTGTTTCTTTCAGAGGCCCCTTCTTTAATTGTCATTTCAAACAGAACATAACGAGACAGACTGGTGGGAGACAGACTGGTGGGAGACAGACTGCATTGGATAATACAGAACATTGGATGAGTGAAGGTTGGATAAGCAAGACTCTACTGTAGCACTGTTTGGTAACCTATGTATATATTTAACATTAAAAAACAGAAATGATCCAGTTTATCTTTATACTCTAATGTCTTCTGTAGTGTTCAGGACTGCTCTCACTTGATAGCTGTGATGATGATACATAACCTCATTCATACAAAAGTGTGGCCTCTCACAATTCCCCATGGTAAAAACATCCCTGATGGTACACTACATCTGTGTAGCATGGAAAAGTCAAAAAATATTCCTTCTTGCTAAAGATGGCAGATTTAAGAACAAACTTTTATAAACCTATCAAGCAATGAAGTCATTGTGTCTCCTAATCTTTGTCTTGCTAGTCAAAACTATAATTGCCAGTGCAAACGTTAACATAATGCACAGATAGAATTCTCTCTAATGGGCTCATGAAATATCAACAGGTAGCAAATGTCTATCCGTCCTGACAGAAAACTCTACTGTGCCGTTCTTTATGAGCAATGCTGACTTGTATGATCCTGCTGTTTCCATCTACGGTCTACCCCATCTTTAATCTTCTTATTGCACTCTTGACCTATTTGAAACAATAGTGTTGACAGCTATGAAAATGGTAACACAATTCAAACAGTAATTATAGTAATTACCTGGTCAATACATTTGACATAATGAACTCTCACACAGTGAGATTCTTACCTTAACTATTCTGTCCCATAATGGCTGCATAATATGGACGGATAAAGGATTTGTGTCCACAGCACTGTACTGGAGAAAAAATAAAGATACATTTATATCAAAGTAAAATATTTTCAAGATATATTTCATGCACATAGTAACAGCCAACAGCTTGCCAAATGATAGTCCAACCTCATTCATTCTGCTTTCTACTATGAGTCGCCTGCGGGCTGATATGGGCGGGATATAAGTGATGTAAATAATAATAATAAATATTCCAGTGGTTCTCAATCTGTGGGTCCTCAGATACTTTGGCCTTCAACTCCCAGAAATCCTAACAGCTGGTAAACTGGCTGGGATTTCTGGGAGTTGTAGGCCAAAACATCTGGGGACCCACTGGTTGAGAACCGCTGTACTATTCAGAAAACAGCAGCCTACTCATGAGCAACACAGGGTCCAGACCCTCATAGTGGATCCCCAGGGGGTGTTTAACACTGGTCAATATCCCTGTAGCTAGGTCTTCTTGCCATGAAGGTTCTCCCTGTTGCCAAACACTAACAAGAAGCTTTAACACACAATAATTCATGGTCAAAAGTCCCCATTAATTACAGACTTCTAATACCGCTAACTGACCTCTGCTGAACACCTTTCAACATTCTTCTCATTCACCTCTGTCAGCAGGAAAAGTATCTTCTGTAGGAGCCCCCCCCCCAACTTATATTATTGATTTTTCCCATTTACATTATTATAAAGGTGATATTAAAGTAAACAATGAAGTAGATACCCAGATGCACCCATCCTACAGACACAGTAGAGCCAATGTGGTATAATAGTTTGAGTGCTGGGTTATGAATTGGGAGACCAGAGTTTAAATCCCTGCTCAGCCATGGAAACCTAATAGGTGACCTTAGGGAAATCACACTGCCACAGTCTCAAAGGAAGGATTAGAGTTGGCTTACAATGGAAATGACTGGAAAACAAACAACAGCAAGCAAACAGACACAAATATTCCAAAAATATGGCACCACTAAACATTGCTCCCAAGAAATTATCAATTTTAATTCAAAGTTACTTTATCATGTCTCTCTTCAAAAGTCTTTCACAGAACCAGAAGGCAGCACGTTATATTATCTTGATAGCTGACTTGTTTACATAAAGGAAGCTGAGCTATAACAAATTTCCCCAGGTTCCATAGGTAACACTTAAGTGAGGATTTGAATTCAAGTCTAAAATCAGCCGAAAATCTGATAAATGATCCGCTACAAACAGATAAAAACTTACTTCAGTTAGACCCATGAAAATGTGGTTTAGAGCTTGCCTTATGACACAGTAAACTGTCATTTCCCATCATGGCTATTTCCTGCAATATTGTGAGACTCCCAAAACATTTTCTGTCATATGAGCCCTCTGTGATTAACATTAGTATAATTCAGTAGAAAATGCCTTAGGAGGCAAAATGTGCCATTCAAATGTGCATATTCTGAAATATATCAAAAGAATGAAAGACCCTTGTTCAAAGATCCAGAAATGTTAACTGCAGCATTTTAGTTTTTGAAATATATTGACATTTATAAGGTGGTTACCTATGAAAGGAAAACCAACATTTCTCCTTTCTTTTTCAATCCATAAAGATGAAGCAATTTCTGACAGCAAATCCAAATTTGAGCTAAATTTTTATTAAAAGAAAACTAAGGACAGTGAAGGTCAGTGCGAGTCAAAGTGGTGGCCGCAGGGATGTGAGCCATTTGTTGCCATTCCTGATGAGTTTCCAGTAAAGAAAGAAACTACTAGCATCTTGCCTGAGCAACACTGGATTAGAGGAATGTGAATAGATTATTTTTGCACATTTTCCCTAATCCATTATGAAATGGTGACTAATAGTGCTTCTTATAGTAAACAGCATCTGTGTAAATGCTCTTATTATTTGGCAGTTGAACCCATGATGGAGTAAATATTTTAAAAAAAACACCCATCTTTCTAATAGTTCCAGTTTTAGAGTTGATCAGGCTTAGACTGAGTCAATAAACTCAGCCAGTCTTGCCAATACAATTGGCTGTCCACACTGGAAAGTTTAACTGTTGTAGATTTATTAATACGTCCTCTCTATTAATTTTCTGAATCAGCACCCTCAAATAACCAAACCGATTCTAAAGTTGACCAAAAACTGATTTGTAACCCTTTTGCTACTAGTCAAAGTGGTCCCTGGTCCAAAAAAAAAAGTTAGAGTCACTGCTGTATATGTTTGTGTGAAAAGAGAAAAGTGTGCATAAATAATATATTTACATTCCTCTATGTTTGTGAGATCAGAGAATCACATGATGTAACACAGAATTTTCCATTTATTTATTTCCTTTATCTTTATTTCACCTTCCTCCCAATATAGGGACTCAAGGCAGCTAACAATACATATCTAGCATACATCAGCACCAGTTTCTACAGAAGACATGCCAAAATAATAAATATGTCTGTTGCTTCATCCCACTTGCTTCCAAGAATTTCAATATACAGGCATTCCTCGAGTTACAAACATCTGACTTACAAACAATTCATAGTTAAGAAACGGGGGTGAGACAACAGGAAGTGAGAGTAATTTACTCTTAAGAAGGGAAATTCACTCCTGAAAGCATTACCATGCAGAAAAGGTATCTCCACTGAACCAATCCTTGTTTCCACAACAAGCCAAATGTTTCAAAATCCAATTATCACAGGGACAGAAAATGAGGGAAAATCTTCTGAACAGGGGCACAAACAGCAAAACAAACACTACAGGGGTGTTGAACCTTCCCTATACTACCCAAAGTGTATATTCAACTTAAGGACAAACCTACATAAGCCATCTTGTTTGTAACTTGGGGATTGCCTGTACTCTTGGTTTGAGGGCATAGGTCATTTTTATACAGAGTTATGATTACATTAACATGTAACTCTTCAAAGCAACCTATACAATAAAAACTGGTCAAGTTGGATTCCTCCCAGTGCAAAGGTAAATTACAAATAAAAATCATGAACAAATATAATTAATAAAATGAGCATATTTTATGGTGTGTGGTGATGATGGCTAATGAAACATTTTTATTGTTTGCAATGAATCAGTACATTCATTGTGAATGTAAGCAGGCAGAGTCATAAATATCAGTCAGTCAGTAACCTTTATTTTGGTCAACAAACCTTCGACTGAAAGTAGTCATAAATATGAAGCTTAAAATAAAAGCTCAAGTGTGGATTGCTATGATTACCATTGATGTTAAAATTCTATGTAGGTCCTGCCGATTACTGAGGCACTCTTTCTGGACATGTTGTCTCCTAAAAGGACCGTGGATTCATGCCCAGTGCACTGTGCCCAATTAACACACAGGGTTGGAGAATGAAAATTGAAGCTGTTATTCTCAGTGAATGTAAATGGGCTCTTTTGGAGAAACCTAAAAGAAACCTTAATGAAAGCTGTTTAGACACTAAAAATGTGCTGGAATAAATACGCTAATCTAAGGCCACATTTAACAAAGACAGTCTGCTCAGCAAAGTTGAGTGATGTGACTCAACATGCAAAAAAGCAGCACTGACTTCAAAGTAATAGGACTAACTGCAAGGTAATACCATTCACATAATACAGCTGTTTCAATGAGTCAGTCTAAAAAGCAAAGTCTTCCTAATCCCTTCCCTAATTCTCAGATACTTGTGTCAATATATACTTGTTACTCTGGTCTGGGGATATCTATACTCTACCCAGGTAATAACAACTCCCTGTCTATGCAGTAGAGGTTTGCAGGAAGCTCTTCCTGCCTATTTATTTATTTATTTACTTACTTACTTTACTTGTATACCGCAGTTTCTCAGCCTAACAGGCGACTCAACGCCGTTTACAACAAAGGTACAACAGTCAACAATATACAATTTAAAACCATAAAAGCATAATACACAATATTGACGCAACAATAACAACCCAATGCATCTCATGACTAAAATCGTGATCCAGTTTCGTCGTCCATATTACCATTTGGCCTAAAGCCAAATTACTCTAGTAGCAAATGGGTAAAAAAAGTCAAGAAAATGCTTCATTGGGAAGCATTTGACAACAGAATTCTGTGTCATTCTGTGTCAATAAATGAATTAGTGTATTCTGCATAATACCAGTAAAATTAAGGAGGTACACAGCATAAAACCACATTCTCCTGTACATAATATAACTCTGAACTTTTTATCTTATTCACACCCACAGGTCTCTTGAATGTTTGCATTAGCACTGGTGCTGATATAAATTCAGACATGTTTGTGTGGCAGGATACTGGAAGGAGTTTATCTGATAGTTATCTTAGGGCTGTACACTTCTTAGAAAGAAGGAATTTCAGTTTTCTGACACATACCTCTGTGTAGACCATTGGAAAAACAGCTTTCTGGGAGTGTACCTGGTTGTAGCTCGCTAGAACCAGGATCACAGTTGTGTGTGTGTGTGTCAGGAGTGGCTTGAGAAACTGCAAGTCACTTCTGATGTGAGAGAATTGGCCATCTGCAAGGATGTTGCCCAGGGGATGCCCAGATGTTTGATGCTTTACCATCCTTGTGGGAGGCTTCTCTCATGTCCTTGCATGGGGAGCTAGAGCTGATAGAGGAAGCTCAACCCTCTGTCCCCAGATTCAAACCACTGATTTGTCAGTCAGCAGTACTGCCAGGACACGGGTTTAACCCATTGTACCACCGTGGGCTCCTAGGATCACAGTGATATACTGACAAAGCAAGGAGTTGAGATACCACAGATGGTGGGCAGAAGTAGGAATTTGGGGGAAGAGTCTTACTTAAGGACTCTCAAAAGGTGTTGTCACATGCAATGCCAAGTGGCAGTTTGCTTTCTGATGGGAGAGGTTCACCATAGTTACTTTACTGAGGGCTTCCTCTAAACTAGAGCCAGCTCTGTGTCTGTCCTGTTACTTCACATACCATTTGTATACTTCCAGCCATCTTCATGATGCTTCACATGCATTGTCTTCTAGCATGTGAAGCATGCTCTCTTCTTGTCAATGTCCTTCTTCAATTGCTTTTCTCAAAACTGGATACAGCATTATTATTATTCCAGGTGAAGAGGAATGGTCAAAGCA